AATCTAAAAAAGATATGGAATATATCAAATTACAGCATATAAAAACAAAAAAAAGGGGGGGGGGGTTCATACAATAATATAATATGACTTACATATAATATTAATATGCACCATGCAGCAGTAAAACCCTCCAATCTTAAGGGGTAGGCCTCCTCTGTGTTCCCACAAGCCGAGGGGCCATCAAAAAGGCCAGATATGGGGGCGCAGCAGTGGCCGACAGTCCAGAGCACCAAGGGTCTAGACCAACCAGTGAGGAAGAAAATAAAAAGTATATACTGAAACTCAAACCAAAGAGTACAGAAGTATATATGTATATAAATTTCAAATATGTGTGAGGCCTAGCTGTTAGTGTCCGAACAACCAAATACTCACAGCATCATTGGTTGCTTGGACATTGGTAGCTGAGCCACACAGCATTATTGGTTGTTATGGTGCAGGCAGCTGCCAGCACCATAGCAACTAATGATGCTGTACTACCCAGCTTCATGGATCCTAGTAAGCAATGATGCCATGGGGCCCAGTCACCAGTGTCCTAGCAACCAAAGGTGCACAGCATCATTGGTTGCTTGGATGCTGGTGGCTGAGTAGCATAGTGTCATTGGTTGTAATGGTGCAAGCAGCCACCTGCACCTTCACGACCAATGATGTTATGCAGCCCAGGTGCCTGCATTCTGGTGTAGAACTACCCCCTTAGGAGCTGCAGGAGTATTGCCCGAGTATTCCCCACTACTATGCTGACAGCCTGACACCAGATATTTTACCTCAGCCAGGTGCATACACTTTTAGTGTTGTAGCTGCTTAGTTGTTTTGTAGTTTTATTTGGGGAACTTGGATCGGGTTAGGGGGTTGCAGTAGGATACTCTGAAAAAAAAACTATTCACAACTTGAGGACACTAGCTGTTCTAAGATGGAGCCTTAGGTGAAGTCCCTTGCTTAGAGAAGATGGCAGACTTCTCTTGTAATGGCAGTGTAGTCGTGAAGAAGATTGAGCAAAGTCTCTTGCAGTAAGTGGCAGGTAGACAGAGCTCTTTGGATAACTAACCAGTGATCCCTTTAGCTGGGCCCTAAGCTGACTAGAGCACAGCAGAGTGGGGGTTATCAGCATAGGGTACCTGAGATCCCACAATGTGTGTACTCGTTTTTTGTAGAGCAACTGGCAGCAGCTCTCAGTGATACCAGGCAGATCCTCAGCGGGCTCCCCCTCAGTCAGCTTTTAGGAGAACCAGGACCACAATTCAGTTCCAGTTTCAGCCCCTTAGGTCGCCCTCCTGAGGCTTATTGGCAGCAGGTGCCAGTGGAGACAAGCCTGCCTCGACCCTGGCTTGGTGAAAACCACTCTAGGAAGGACCCTGAACCCATGAGCTCCAAGAATATAAATACCAGCTCCCAGTATGCAAAATGGCAATCCCCCTGTGTAATTAGCCAGAGCTGTATTCATATTCATGCTGTTCATTTGCCTAGCTCCCACCTATGCTCTGAAAAGCTCTAATGGTTTCTAGAAGGCATGAGGAGTTCCAGGCAAACTTAACCCCTTGGCGCTGGTGCCTCACAGCCCTTTAAGGGTTTCAGAAGCCGGGAGGCAGGGCAGACTTTAGGGTCATGCCATCACGGCAGTCACATGATCGGGAAAGGTCCCGATCGAAAGAGGAGATTGGGACCTTTCCGTGAATACAAAAACTGCGGAGACGTATTTAGGCGCACTTGCGCGGTAATGCATTCTAATTGCCAGAATAAATTTATATTCTGACCAATAGATTACATTAATGTGCATATGTGCAAAAAAAAGGCATAAACGTTTGTGCAATTCGTGGATTGGATTTGGATCTGGTGTTTTCCTGGCAAGAAAAGAGGCTTCCAGAGGAGCTGAGCAAAATCTCAGGGTACAAGAGGACGGAGGGTAATTTTCTATATGTCCCAGCAGAGGAGAGCCCTTGGTGGAATACTAATTTGTCAATATTTGTGCATCCCCGAAGAAAAATTGTTTGCTGAAGATAGGAGGCAAATGAACAGAAAAAAAAAACTCTAAGCCCAAGTTAGGTGAATGGCAACGGTGACAACAGATTAGGTTACACACAGATCACAGTGTCAATAATTACACTGGAAATAATAGCTCCTGTTCACACACACCATACAGATAAAAACAGAAACAGGATTTGTTTTTATGCTGTGGGATTGTTCAATGAATGATATGTTATCAGTCAGAAAAGTGTCCAGCGCATAGAAACAGCTGAATGTACCTGTGCAGAGATATATTATAATATTTAAACTGGGCTCCCGACAGATATTATTATTATACAGGATTTATATAGCTCCAACAGTTTGCTCAGCGCTTTACATTATAAGGGAGACAGTACAAATACAATACATTTCAGTACAGAAGGAATAGGAGGGCCCTGCTTGTGGAGCTTACAATCTAAAAGAAAGGGGAGATGGTACAAAAGTTGATAGCTTCAGAGGATGATCTGATGGAGGTGATTCAAGTACAGTTCTTAGGTGGAGGTGGGGTAGGCTTCCCTGAATAACTGAATTTTCAAAGATCGCCTAAAGGCTGACAGGGTGGGGGCTGACCGGACATACTGCAGTAGGGAGTTCCAGAGGATGGGAGAGGCTGTGGAGAAGTCCTGGAGGTGAACGTGGGAGGAGATGATGAGGGATCTAGAGAGGAAGATATCTTGGGAGGAGCGGAGTGGGCAATTTGAGCGATATCTGTGGATGAGGTTGGTGATGTAGCTAGAGGCAGTGTTGTGGATGGCTTTGTAAGCTGTGGTTAGTATTTCGAATTTTATTTGTTTGGTTAGTGGAAGCCAGGGGAGGGATTGGCAGAGAGGGGCAGCAGACGCTGATCGGTTGGTAAGGTGTATGAGTCTAGCAGCAGCATTCATAATAGACTGAGGGGGGATAGCCTGTGTAACGGTAGACCAGTGAGGAGGGAGTTGCAGTAATCAATAAAATAAAGAATGGTGCCGCGCCCTTATATTGAACATGTGTTTGGATAAAATGACATAATGACTTAATAAGAGTGATTAATTACCTAAATTCAGTTTAATATAAGGCAGGATATAACCAAGGCGTGGATAAGTTGTTTTGTGGTGTCATTGGTCAGAAAGGGGCGGATTTTGGAAATGTTCCGGAGATTGAGGCGGCAGGATTTAGCCAGTGATTGGATGTGGGGCCCAAAGGAGAGGTCAGAGTCTAGGATTACACCTAGCACCCTGGCATGAGGGGAAGGACCAATGGTTATGCTGTTGATGCAGATGTGCAGGTTGTGCAGATATAATATATACTGCATTCTTAAATGCATTTTGTAAGATGCAAGCAGTATAAGCACCTGAATTTGACTTGGTTTCAGCCGCTTGCTTGTTCTGGAGGATTCCAGAATATGGTGGGCTGGGAGAGTCAAAAAAGCAGCCTGAATATTTATGTGGTTCCAGCCAATCCCTTGGAGAGGGGTGTCCAGCAGGTGGCTGGAGAGTGCATAACCAGTCTGAGGCCTGAGACAGCCCTGCACTGGTCCAGGAGTAGAGGTTTCCAGCCAGAAGGGCTGCTGCCCTTCTGGGCAGTCCAACAGAAAATTCTACCTGTGCTCATCAAGGGCCAAGTTGTGGCAAAGCTTGTGGCCGTTACTGCTAAAATAAATCTCTAAAACTAAGCAAAGGATTTCATTGAGAATCTGGTCTGGAAGTTCCATTGAGGAATTGTCTGTCTGGTATTGGAGGGAGGCATCCAAGTACCCAAGGACATTGTGAGTACAGACCTGAGTGTGGGGATCCTAGTGACTGTTTCTACTTCTATTACAGGCATCTCATCACTAGTACTTGCCTGACTTGGGACATTTTTTTTAAGGTGTCTCTGTGCTGTCCATTTGCTGAGCCTTTATTAAAGGAACTGACCTGAAAAGTAGGAATAAAGTAAAGAGTGCCCTCCATTTATTACCCAGCATTTATGTAGTATCCCACTGTTCCCTATGCCCTATACAAGTTATTTAGAAATAAATCTTAAAAAGGCAACCCCCCAGACTGTTTTGTGGGCAGAACAGTGACAGTTGCTGTGTGCCTGGCTGTTACTGCACTAATCTCGGAAAGGAACCTGGGGCAAATCAGTGGGCTCTTTCTGGGGTAAGTGCTAAGTATATGTGATACTTACCGAGCGGAGGCCTCTTTAAAGTGGTTCTAGAGAGAGAAGGATTTTTTGCATTCTATGCTGTAAGGTGAAAAACCTTCTGGCTGCAGCTCCCCCTTCAGCCCATCTTATACTTACCTGAGCCCCATCTCATTCCAGCTTTGTGCATGAGAGCCATGGCTTTCCTAATTGGCTCACACAGCAGCAGGAGCCATTATCCATTCACAAAGCAGCAGGAGCCATTATCCATTCACATGCAGCGTGTGGCTCAGCCCTGTCCCCGTCTGTCTCTTGCTCTCTCCTCAATAGCTCAGTGGCTGTGATTGACAGCAGCAGGAGCCATTGTTCTGTGCAAAATCATCGCACAGAGCAGGTAAGTATAACATGTTTGTTATTTAAAAAAAAAATTCCAACCTTTAGAATCACTTTAAGCTGCCCAGGAGAGTATTTCTCCTCTAGCCACAGCTCATCTTTCACTGCATGTAGGATAGTGCAAGGGGAGAAACGCACCGAGGAGGACAAGGATAGAGAGGGGTGAGACCTTTCATTATCTGCTGAAGGATTGCTTGAGACTTTGTGAGTGGTGGTTAGCGTTGAGAGACCTTTTGGCCACCTCTTTGTATCCACCACAGGATCAGGATCCCAGCAACAACAGGCCTGGGTTCCAGAGTTTACCACTGGCCAGTGGAACAGCAAGGCCTTCTGCTTGTATTTAGGACCTTTATTGGGAGATAGGCCATCTTTAGCTCAGTTGTGCTTTCATATATTTGTTAACCCCTACAGCACCTGTCATTGGGGAGGATGTGAGTAGAAATCTCTCCAGTGGTTGTAAGCTGTCCAGCACTATAAACGAAAAAATATAAAAATATGTTTTGGCTGAAGTTCTTCTTAAATTCAAATCTCCAGCTAAATATTACCATACAATATTACAGCATGTATCCCTATGGTATAATACAGGAGCGGACTGACAACTCATGGGGCCCCCGGGCAATAGGGGATCATGGGGCCTCTGTGTCCTTGCCCAAACTCAAAAAAGCCTATGAAAAAGGAACCAGGGGCATCTCATGGGGCCCCCTACTGACCCCGGGCCCTCGGGCAGTGCCCGAGTTTCCAAATGGTCAGTCCGCCCCTGGTATAATAGCAACACCAGCAGATATTTCCTGGCATGGTTTTCTAGTCCTGGACAAAGGTCTGGGTAGTTTTTGTTCTCTGACTATGGAAGAGCTAACATGACTCATTGGTGGCAACTCTACGCCTCTACCAGCACCGCCGTGACAGTTTATTTAACTTGCTGTGGAATACATGGCCATGTTTTTGTCTGTAAAAATAGATATTCCTTCACTCCACCTGTCTATTCATAAAAATAACATCTGCCAGACATTCTGCCTCGTTCAGTCCATTCCCTTTTTAAGTTTTAATCAAATTATTTCCCTTTAGATACAAAATACTTGGTTGTTTTTCTTTCTTGCATTGCTGGCCCATTTCCATGACACAGAACATTATTTGTTTGTTTATTTTTGGATTTAAAAGGTAAATGGCAAATGTTAAAGTGCAGAGACATATGAATAGATACATGAGAATCAAAATTTCCTAAGCTGGGGTTTACTGGGTAGTGAGGTTTCCAAAGGGTCACCTTACTGGTTCAGTGGACCACTTCACCAGACCACCAGACAATTTTATTGGTTAAAAGAGGACACTTTACCAGTTCACAAGACCACTCTAGCTGGTCAGGGCAGGTTGAGGTTACTTCATGGTGGTAAATAATTGACCTATGCAGCTAGTCACTCCCACTGCTTGTAATTCCAACACCATCGTCTGGACTACAAGGGACATGTTCATGACAGCTGGGCTGGGCAGGAAGGGAATGTTGTTGAGTGTCACACAACAGAAGTAAAGGGATGGGCATTCTCTCAGAGATGAGAAGTCAAAAAAAATTGCAAGATACGACATGTATACTCAGGACACCATTCACTACTACTAAAGTAATCAAAAATGTACAACTGGAGTCAAGCTTTAAACCATTGTTTTAATCCTTTTACAATAGAACGGCTTTGTCAACCATATTGATCTTATAAAAGAATGACCTTTCGAACAACTAAGAGAGCAAAGATAAGAGTCCCTGGAATTGATTTCAAGTCAGTGGCTTGTTTAACTTCTTGAGACCTTCTTTGTAATTAAACCAAGGTGATTTGTTAGTAGACATGTCCATAATATAGGATATACTACAGACATGTAACTGCATTACGAGAATATTGATCAAAGAGATGGAGATAGTTCCATAACTCTGGGTACCGATCAACTAAACCCTACCTTCTTTGAGAATTATCCTTATTAAATTTTTTCCTCAGTGAGATCACTTCTTCCACCTTCATGAAATTTAATGAGAAGAGGACACAGAGGTGGGGGTGCCCATAATAATTAAAAGTTGTTATGCTGGAAGGTGAGTCTAGGTTACAACAATGAAGCAGAAGTAAGGGAGAAGGTATTGCCAGGGAATGAACTATTCTCAAAATGTTTTGGCCAGTTAAGACTACATTTACAATTCGAAAAGGCTTTTAAATTGGTTCCTGGGGTAAATATTTCTATTTGAGTAATAGGATGATACCAAAAATGGATGATACCATGTTGGGGCTTGAATAAGGCCTTGGCCCTTTTATGTGGCTCATGTGGCAAAGGAAGCAAAGAGACCTACTGTACTCCTCTTTAGACATGCAGTTGGCCATCATAGTGTATCAGTCCGAATTAGTGAGTAATGGTTACTCAGAGTCCATTGCGTGCTCTAATTTTTGAATTGCCTAGCATATCATTGAACTGACGAAAACCAATCCAAAGGACTGCTCACCAAATCCCTTTGCAAACATTACCTTGTGAAAATATTAATGACATCATCCTGGAGTAGGGCTTTAGCCAGTTAATGTATGACCATTTAGTGTCTAGTGTTCCCTAAAGCACCATGGTTGACATAGATAGCAGGTGGCAGCCAGTTGTTCTGGAATTTCTTTACTGCTATTCACCTAAGAGATGTCAATATTTTAGTTAGTTCTAGATTGAACACAGTCAGGAACAGTCTCACAGTCTATGAAATACGACCCCAATCCTCAAAAAAATTTTCATTGGACCTGAAGGAAGACAGGCTGTTGACACATCTGTAAATCAATGGAGTCAGAAGTTCTTCCTCCATCTTAATATTGACAGGGAGGATTAATAATGCAGGAACGCCACTCTCCCAATGAATAGTAATGTTCTTCAGGACTGTGTTGATGTTAGAGTGATACTATTACTCAAATATAAATATTTACCCCAGGAACCAATTTAAAAGCCTTTTCGAAATGTAGTCTTAACTGGCCAAAAAATATTTGAGAATGCAGATAAGTTTTCCTTTGATATTTGATAAATTACTCCAAGCATGGGCAACATTTCCTTTTTTATCTGAATATTTTCTGAGATATCTGAGCCTAGTTAACAGGCCAGCAACAAATGATGAATTCATTAACTGTTACAGTATAGATCTCCAATTTCAATAAATGTACTGTACACTCACACCAGCCACTTTATAAGTTACACCTGTTCGATTGCTTGGTAACACAAATTTCTAATCAGCCAATCACATGGCAGCAACTCAATTTTACTCAGACCAGCCCATCTGGCACCAACAACCATGCCACATCCAAAGTAATTTAAATTCCCTTTCTTCCCTATTCTGAACTTCAGCAAGTTATCTTCACCACATCTAGATGCCCAAATGCAGTGAAGATGACTTGCTGAAGTTCAGAATAGGGAATTAAGGGGATTTAAATTACTTTGGATGTGGCATGGTGGTTGGTGCCAGATGGGCTGGTCTGAGTATTTAAAACATTGCTGATCTGCTGGGATTTGCACACACAACCATCTCTAAGGTTTACAGAGAATGATGCGAAAAAATATCCAGTGAGCCGCAGTTGTGTGGACAAAAATGCTTTATGATGTCATAGATCAGAGGAAAATGGGCAGACTGGTTGCAGATGGTAGGGTCAGAATTTGGCGTAAACAACATAAAATCATGGATCCATCGTGCCTTGCTTCAACGATTCAGGCTGAGGGTGGTAGTGTAATGGTGTGAGAGATATTTTCTTGGCAATAGCAAGGTATAACTAATAAAGTGGCCGGTGAGAGTACTTTTAGGGTCTGTTAGGGTTCTCCTTCAATTTTATATTGGTCATGGTAGCACAGGTAGGTTTTCTCTGGTGCAGGAAATATTATGTGCATTGATTAGATGAAGCCACCTGGGGGTGTGACATTCAGGTATTTTATAGAAGCCACTGTGGTGGTGGCCATTGGGAAAGTGGCATTTGTGCAGATGTGGCAAAACTTGGGTGGCAGTGAATGCTTATTCTCCGTTTTAAAAGACCGTGTTAATTAGGTTAAACTTTATTCAGTTGTACCCTAGTGGTGTAATGGAATACTGTCTCTTTTCATTAAACTTTTACTATATGGCCAAATGTTTGTTCACCCCTGACCATGACACATGTTTGAGCTTGTTGGACATCTCATTCCAAAACCATGGATTTCAATAGAAAATTGCCCCTTCTTCTTTGGAGCTACAATAGTTTCATTCACCTGAGGAGGTTTTCTATAGGATTTTGGAGTGTGTGTTTGGAAATGTTTGCCCATTCATTCATTCTGTTGTTGAATTAGAAGACATGACTTGTAATGGGTGTTTCAGTTAATCCCAAAGGGTTTTTTAGGGTTGCCAACAGGGCTCTGTGAAGTTCATTTACATTCCTCCACACCAACCTCATCAAACCATGTCTTTATGGAGCGGGGTTTGTTTACAGGGGTACAGTCACGCTGGAAGGAAAAAGGGCCTTCCCCAAACTGTCACCACAAGTTGGAAGCACACTATTGTCTTAACAGTCTTTGTTGTAGGCTGTGGTATTAACAATACACTTTAATGGAAACAAGTGAACTCTATAATTGAAAGTGGTGTACTCATGGGTGTACGTGTAATGATCAGGTGTCCAAAAACTTTTGGCAATATAGTGTATGAAGATTTCCAGTCTCCCAGGGCATGGAATATCAATTGATAGTAAATTTAACAGAACTGAACTAGTTGAAAACCTTTTCCCGTTCAAACAACATCTTTAGATTGCACGATTGGAAGGTAATTCTACAGGATTTAGCCCTTGTTGTTATTTCAGCTACCATAACCTAAATACTATAGCAGCATGCTCATGAGGCAAGTATGAGATGTATACTCACTCAGGAGAACAAGCTAAACTTTTTGTACTGGGCAATTTCCATCAGAGATGAAAAAACGTTTATAATGAAGTGTAAGTATACAGGAAACCCAGACATATGGACCAGTTGTTTGATGTCTGCCATCCACTGGAACCCAAGCTGGAGGTCAATAGACCCCTGCACCTGAGATGGTGACAGCCAATAATTAGTTGAAGGACAAGGTATACAAACACCTCATAAGATCTTTTTTTACAGCATGTGGCTACATTGACTGAGCATTTGTTAAAATAGCAACAAGAACATCTGATCAATAAGCAGAGGATAGGAAGTAGAGCAACTGGAATAACATATGAATCCCAAATGTGGCCAGTGTGTCCAAAATATGTAGATAGAATTTAAATAAACATCATAGTGTTGTGTTTTCAGATCTAGAAATTTACTCACTGAGTTTTCAAATCCAGAAATGTAGTCATTGAGTAGTTTGTACATTTAAAAGAATTTGCACCCAAGCATAAGCTTAGCAATGCAGTGATGAGTATAGTTAGAGTAGTGGCAACATATCTACTAGTGTTGCCGTAAAAAGGAGCAGCATCTCTCCTCCTGTTAGGCTTTTGTAGAACACACATGGAACCTTTGCTTCTGTGTCTTCCAGAATTTTGAGGCGTCACTGGAGCTCCAAGACCCACAACATCAGGTTTCACCTCTTGGTATACCCCAACCAAAGTATTAGATAAAGACATATCAGAAGACTCTGCAATTAGCAGTTTTTCTTGGTCTATGAAGCCTTATGATCCACAACACCAGGTGTCATGTCTTGGTCCCAAGTGGCCAATTCTAGTCTGTTCTAGTTTGTTCATGGACCTCCAAGTCCCACAACACATAGGGGTTGATTTACTAAAACTGGAAAGTGCAAAATGTGGTGCAACTCTGCATAGAATCAAATAAGCCTCCAAGTTTTTTTTTTAAAGCTTAATTGAACTGATTTGCTACCATGCACAGATTTTTTACACTCCAGTTTGAGCACACCAACAAATTGGTGTGTTTACGGGAGTCCAAGGGCCATATTGCCAGGTGTAGTAAAGTGGGCTTCTCTACAGTGACCATTACCAGTGTATGTCCATAAGGCTACATTATCCATAGCACCTCTTGGTTTTCACCTCTTGGTACCAAAGTGTAGTGGATATAACCATACCAATGAATTTTCTACATTGAGCAGTGCCAATACATGTGGTAAGATCCAGCCGGCTGTTGGAAAATTTCTTTCTTCAATGTTCTGTGTTGCTGTTCTTTGAAGATATACTAGAAGAAATGTTGTACTACTAGATTGCCATGTACAGTTATTTGCACACAACATACAACCCCCCATCTCCTGTACCCTCCTCCCAGTGCAGTATTATTGGTCTTAATAAATTACAGGTGCCCTTTTAGTCATGTCACTCGGAGGCTGACAAAGGTGCATTGCTTGAGTGGTTGTTCGAGCTCCTACAGGAAATGCACATTATTAATTAGATGTATGATGACTATAACTATTACACTGTCAGAATGAACAAGGCTAAATGTAATCGACCTTTTCTCGCCCAGACAATAGTGATGATTTATCCAGCTACTAAAAATATAAATCTTCCTGTAATGTGGCATATTTTAACAAGAACACCGATAAGGGATCAGTCTTAGTCATATTATTAAAGCTTTTGGAAGATGCTAGACAGTTTAAAGAAAAAAATTAATCTGAATCTACATTCAAAAAGATTTTAAAACAGATGGTGCCGGTCTTGGTCGGGGATGGAGTGTAACTGCAGACAAGGCTGTAATGCTTTTGCATTAAAAGGAAGATGATGGATATGACAGGAATATGAATCCTGACCATTGTGGGCTCTAGAGCCTGGCCAGAGAAAATTAGGAGAGGCTCCATTGCCACAACTCAATGCCACAATTTACACCTAGCTGAAAAAAGGAGTTACCCTGCCTCTAATTTGTGGTTCCTCCAGTCAATCCCTATGCCAGTACTATGTCATAAAGGTTAGTTGGAACAACCTCAGCTGCCAACAGAGGACACATTATCCAATAGGGACCTGGGTTTTGTTTGAGGCAGGTTAGCAGAACATGACTAAAAATTGAGCGCCAAACCCCTTTGAAGTCAATGGGAGCCGAATGTTAAAAACAGCCCATTTTGTAAGAACATCAAAGCAACACACATTTGAAAAAAATAATTAATGCTTTAGTAAACAAAGCAGCTGGGGATTCCCTTCATCTATATCAACCCATATCCTAGATGAGCATCTGGTATAGATGTTAACCAGGGACCACCACTTAAAAAAAAACAGTGTGGGGTTCCCTCGAAGAAAACATACCAGATGTTTATCCTTGACAAGAGTCTAGTATGGATGTCAAGAGGGACGCATGCAAAACAAAAAATAAAAAATGCATGATCAGATAAAGAGGACAAGGGCCTCAGCCCCACAACCCTAGCTAGCCTGGTGCTTGTGGGGATCTGAAAATATGGGACTTATTGGAATCTAGAAGACTCCTTTAACAAAAGGAAGCACCCTCCCTTTTGAATGAGTAAGAAGTACATAGTCCTGTGATTCATTCATACAAAAAAAAAGGAAACAGTAAATAAAAGCACTTACATAGTTTAAGACAAGTTCTTTATTAAAAAAAAGAAAGTCCCACAAGGTACCTCCATCACAGTGTTGCCAACTGTCTATTTTTGCTGGCAGCCAGTAAATTATGGGCACTTTTGTCCTGCCAGCAGGGGCGGACTGACAACTCATGGGGCCCCCGGGCAATAGGGGATCATGGAGCCCCTGTGTCCTTGCCCAAACTCAAAAAAGCCTATGAAAAAGGTACCAGGGGCATCTCATGGGGCCCGCTACTGATACCGGGCCCTCGGGCAGTGCCCGAGTTTTCAAATGGTCAGTCCGCCCCTGCCTGCCAGTAAATGCCAGTGACAGGAAAAGGCTGCCTGTAAAAATATGGCTGAGATGCTACAGTGTATTTGGGTGGTGCCGGCAGGGGCGGGTCTGGTGGAAGCGGTGCCTGAGCGTGTGATGCGATGTCATGGTGCAAAGGAGCGGGTGGAGCCTTGTGTGTAGGTCTGCGAGACGAAAGCAAGGCATTTTTACATCATGCCTTGGATGTATGTGCTCATATAATTTTTATTTCCCCTGCTCCTTTCCCCCCTACCCTTTCCCTCCCCCCTACCTTTTTCAGGGAGGAGTGGTATCAGGGCATGGCTAATAGCACAACATAGTATTGAAGTAGGTGGTTTATCACCCATGGGTTTGGCTCTGAGGAAAAGGGCTCAATCCTCGAAACACATTAGACTGTCAAACCAATACTGTTCCTATGTGTGATGCTATGTACCAAGGGTGTGAAGCTTCATCCATTCTGACAAGCTTTTACTTATGTTGGTTTGCGAGTATATCACCTATTATTGGATTTTATTAATAAAAGATGCACTAAATTGCCAAACGTATTGGGCTAGCCCTCCAAATCATTGGATTCAGGTGTTCCAATCACCTCCATGGCCACAGGTGTATAAAATCAAGCACCTAGGCATGCAGACTGCTTCTACAAACATTTGTGAAAGAATGGGTCGCTCTCAGGAGCTCAGTGACTCCAAGTGTGGTAACGTGATAGGTTGCCACCTGTGCAATAAGTCCTTCCGTGAAATTTCCTGGCTACTAAATATTCCATATCAACTGTTAGTGGTATTTTAACAAAGTGGAAGCAACTGGGAACAACAGCAACTTAGGCCACATAAAATGACAGAGCGGGGTCAGTGCATGCTGAAGTGCACAGTGAACAGAAGTCGCCAACTGTCTGCAGAGTCAATAGCTAAAGACCTCCAAACTTCGTGTGACCTTCCGATTAGCACAACAACAGTGCATAGAAAACTTCATGGAATGGGTTTCCATGGCTGAGCAGCTGCATCCAAGTCTTATATCACCAAGTGCAATGCTAAGCGTCGGATGCAGTGGTGTAAAGCATGCCGCCACTGGACTCTAGAGCAGTGGAGACATGTTCTCTGGAGTGAAGAATCACGCTTCTCTGTTTGGCAATCCGATGGACGTGTCTGGGTTTGGCGGTTGCCAAGAGAACTGTACTTGCCTGAATGCATTGTGGCAAGTGTAAAGTTTGGTGGAGAGGCGATTATGGTGTGGGGTTGTTTTTCAGGGGTTGGGCTTGGCCCTCTAGTTGCAGTGAACTGAACTCTTAAGGCATCAGCATACCAAGACATTTTGGACAATTTCATGCTCCCAACTTTGTGGGAACAGTTTGGGGATGGCCCCTTCCTGTTTGAACATAACTGTGCATTAGTGAACAAAGCAAGGTCCATAGAGACATGGATGAGCGAGTTTGGGGTGGAGGAACATGACTGGCCTGCACAGAGTCCTGACCTCAACCCCATAGAACACCTTTGGGATGAATTAGAGCAGAGACTGCGAGCCAGGCCTTCTCATCCGACATCAGTGCCTGACCTCACAAATGCGCTTCTGGAAGAATGGTCAAACATTCCCATAAACACACTCCTTAACCTTGTGGACGGCCTTCCCAGAAGAGTTGAAGCTGTTATAGCTGCAAAGGGCGGGGCCAACTCAGTATTGCACCCGACGGACTAAGACTGGGATGCCATTAAAGTTCATGTGTGTGTAAAGGCAGGCCGACCAATACTTTTGACAATATAGTGAGCTGAAGATAATGCACTAGGCTGGTGCACCCTCTGTTTGCTTTATAGTTGCAGCAGTAAAATCTACCCCTTCCCACTCCATCCAAAACTAGAAAAAAACATGTGTGGTTTGGTTCAATATACACTTTAATGAGAGACAGCTTGGCTAATAGTATCTTTATCAGTTGTACTTACCAGAAAAGGACCTGAAATCTATCCCCATGCTGAGTTTTCTAGTACTTGCTAAAAGGTGAAAGCAGTCTTGAAGCAGACTTGAAGTAGGCATACCTGCCCTGTAAGCTGAGGGAGAGGAGGTACTCTGGCGTGTTTGTAGGCGAGAGATCTCAGGGTAGGCATTACCAGTTTGGTAACATATATTAGCTACATAGAGAGTTGGAAGACGGTGAAACAGAGACATGGATGCTAGCAGGGGCGGACTGACAACTCATGGGGCCCCCGGGCAATAGGGGATCATGGGGCCCCTGTGTCCTTGCCCAAACTCAAAAAAGCCTATGAAAAAGGTACCAGGGGCATCTCATGGGGCCCCCTACTGACCCCGGGCCCTCGGGCAGTGCCTGAGTTTCCAAATGGTCAGTCCACCCCTGGATGCTAGCATGCTATGGATCACCTAGGAGCCTCGATGTTGAGTCAGCTCCGAGTCCAGGTGCTCAGTGAAGACCTACTCTGTCTGCTCCTGCGTGTTTGAATGTTGGGTTCAATACCTCACTATGTCATCTCTCTAGTCTCGACAATAAATACAGTGTACCCTTCCCTTATTCACAAACTTCCCCAAAACGCATATAAACACTTTAAACCCCAAAAAGTGTACTAATCTTATGAAGTATGCTTAGTATCCCAAGTATATCAATACAAATAAACCCCCCTAGTGCAAAATAATGACAATCAAATACGGTGTACCCTTCCCTTATTCACAAACTTCCCCAAAACGCATATAAACACTTTAATTTCTGGAGGTCTGGCTGGGCTGATTTCTTGTTTGATGGCAATTTTAAAGATGAAGATATATGCACAGTGGGGATCGAAAGTTTGGACACCCCAGCTAAAAATTTGTATTAATGTGCATAAAGAAGCCAAGGAAAGATGGAAAAATCTCCAAAAGGCATAAAATTACAGATTAGACATTCTTATAATATGTCAACAAAAGTTAGATTTTATTTCCATCATTTACACTTTCAAAATAACAAAAAAGTTCGATCCCCACTGTAAGCACATGAATAAAGTATATTCTGTTTAGGTTTTAGGAATCACGCTATTGTGGTTTCATTTATGGTGGGCATCGTTCGGAGACTGATGTGGAGAGGAGTATAATACTGTGGCTGTGAAGATCCCTCTGGAAGAACTTATTATATATCAGTCCCCTGCCTGGAGGATTACTAAGCTTGTGTTTCTATATTTTTTTGGTAAGGGTATCTATTTTGCACACTCTAGAAGTGGACACATTTTTCACAGTTTTTTATCACTAGATTGTTTCACGGGCACCTGTTTACACATCTATTCACTTTACCAGATAGTGATCACGAGTGTTTTTGTGTGAATCACATGCGTTATGGAATGAATAATTCAAGTTGTTAAGGATAATACACTATGTGCATTTTCCTTTCTTTTTTTTGAGGTTTTATTGGTTTCAGAAATTACTTTGGAGGCTGTCTTCACCTTGAGGTTGATTTTGAGATTTTTAATTACTTTGATATTTTGAAGGACTAATTTATTATTTTGGGACTTGTGTGTTTTTTGTTTTTTTTTGTTTTTGTTTTGAGCACTTATTATATTTGTATTTATACTTGGGATACTAAGCATATTTCATAAGAACATCTCTCTAGTCTACAGGACTAAACCCTCACATCAGCCAGGAGCTACTTACATCGCAAGGCCTTGCATTGTTATTTGGTTCCAAACTATTCAACATAGGGGCATAGGCAGGGGCAGACTGACAACTCATGGGGCCCCCGGGCAATAGGGGATCATGGGGCCCAAACTCAAAAAAGCCTATGAAAAAGGTACCGGGGCATCTCATGGGGCCCCCTACTGACCCCAGGCCCTCGGGCAGTGCCCCAGTTTCCAAATGGTCAGTCCGCCCCTGGGCATAGGTCTCCTGACATACTGTATTTAACTATGTAACCTGTAGCAGTGGGTAGCATTGGCCCCTGGCTAGCTGAATCAATCATTTGAAGGAATGGATAACCCGGCAGTGTGTGTTGCAGCTGTTATGAAGATCTGACAATTTTTGTAAGGAGAGATACTGTTTTTTTTTTTTTTTTTTTACATTTTGCTATTGGTACATGTCCCCCATGGCAGTGCCCAGCATCTCATGCCTTTAGTTTGGCAATATGGCCATAATTGTATTACACAATTCGCCCCCATAGACTTCATTAGGGTTTGCCGCACAGTTTGCGAACTTTGAGCATGATTCCCAAAACTTGACAAACTGAATGCAGACAATTGGCTGATCACAAGAATAGCTGCATTCCTCTACAAATCATTTGGCAGCTGACGCAATCCCTCTTCTTGTTTTAGAGATCTGTTGAGCTGCCTGGCTATAGCTGCCCATTAATGAGACAGGAGTTCTACTATTGAATAAATTCAGAAAAAAAAAAAGTGAATCAGAGCTGAAAGGACGGAACAACCTTGGAATCTGTGTGCAGCTGGAGTATCATTTTATATTTAGACTAGCCATGATGGTAATGGATATTTTCCTAGCAGAGGGTGTTTATGTCTGTGGCGGTGTTTGTTTTTGTATTTTTGTTGTTTGTCTGTTCTAGTTGTGTTGATCAGGAGACAGGAGCAGACTTGACAGTTATAAAATATTCTCCCCACCCCCTACCTCTATGGATGGGAACGGAGCGTCCATCTGGCACAGAGCACCTGGCCTTCACTGACTTTAAAAATTTGAATCTGCTTACATTTTGCCTTCCCTTGTTCCTCCTTTCCACCCATATCAACACTCTACTTAAATTTTAAATAAAACCTTTCCATTTCCATTACATACTTTATTTTGAGGACATCACTGGGTCTATGTGCTTCTCTATGTAATGCAAGCAGTTTAAGGCTAGTGGGAGGGGCTGAAAGGGTACTGTATTTAGCTTCCTGAAAACATCACAGCACCCAGCCTCAGTACTCCTGATAGGTCTGATGCAAGTAGGGGGTTGGCTTTTGGGAGGAGTTATGCAAATATCAGAATGCCTTGATGGGTGGATGTCAGTCTGGAGGAGTGGGTGTTCCTAGTGGGGTTTATTTGCATGCAAACTGCCTCATGTAACACCCACGGGCAATGCTTACTCTCTAGGATAGTGATCACTAGGGGCTTGTTTACACATTATTATTATTATACAGGATTTATATAGCACCAACAGTGTGCTCAGTGCTTTACACATATGGCAAGGACTGCTGCACCTCTGACAAGTGATCTGCATTCACTTTTCAGAGGGTGTTTGACAGGCAGTGACCACTTAATTTCTTGTTTTAACCCCCTAAATGCCCATATGGAAGAAAAATATATTTTAAAAATTTTCTTCCCAAATATATTGACATATTTGAAATACTACAATTTTGGCCATATTCAATATATATATATACTGTATGTTGAAATGTGTTTTTATTACAAAATATATGAAAAATATTTTTAAAAATACATTTCAAATATACTGTTTGTCTTTAAAAATACAAATCTACATTTTTGGAATGAATTTACAAATATATGCAAAAATATATGTTAAAATTACTTTTTTATATGTTAAAAAAAATCTGCAGAATATATTTGAAAAAAAATACATTTTTAAAAATATTCTTCAGATTTTTTGAAATACTACAATTGTGGCCATAATCAATATATATACATATATATATATATATATATATATATATATATATACACTGTATGTTGAAATGCGGTTTTATTACAAAATATATGAAAAATATTTTTAAAAAATATATTTCAAATATACTGTATGTCTTTAAAAATACAAATCTATATTTTTGTATTTTTGGAACGCATTTACAAATATATGCAAAAATATATGTTAAAATTACTTTTTTATATGTTAAAAAAACCTGAAGAATATATTTGAAAAAATACATTTTTAAAAATATTTTTCAGATTTTCTTTAATAGATAAAAAAGTCATTTTAACATATATTCGTAAATGCATTCCAAAAATGTAGATTTGTATTTTTAACGACATGCAGTATATTTGAAAATGTATTTTTAAAAAGATTTGTCACAAATTTTGTAATAAAAACACATTTTTCAACATACAGTATATATATATATATTGAATATGGCCAAAATTGTAGTATTTTAAATATATTTTTCTTCCATGTGGGTGGGACATTGCACATGGTGGAAGCGCAGCCCCATTCACTTGTTCAAAGGGTGGTAGTGCCTGTCGAATGCAACGAACATGAAGCAAATGTGTACATTCCTGGCTGCTGCCTTTGAAGGTTAAGTGGGAGCAGTTGAGAGGGCAGTAAAATACACGGCTCGACCATGTGTTTTTACCGCCCTCCAACTACAAGTGTAAATGAGCCCTGATATTGAAATGTTTTGTTTTTTTTTAAACTCCCAGGGGTGTTAATGCATGTTAAAGGCTGCTTTAAAGATCAACACCTTGGACCTTAGCTTTTAGCTTTTATCTCTATGCCTAAAGTTCAGCTTTAATATTTCAGCAATGATTTGACTTAACGACTCTTCATTTGTTTCAGAAGATTTTCTCATTTCCGCCCGCTGAGTTTTATTACTTCCCGTTCCATAAAGAATCATATTGCAGTGCCGCTTGTAGAATGGCAGCTGTTCTTCCAAATGATATCATTTCTTAAGAAGTCATGGGATCGCCTCTCAGGGATATGATGGAGCTGAAGTATTTCATTCTAAAAGCAAATGATTGCTGAAATAAATGAAGTCGTTCTTCACACTAATCAAATATCATGATGTTATTGTTGCCTGCTGACGGCACGGCCTCACCTGAGCACACAAATCTTTGTTTTATGGCCCATGTTCTTTTTTCCATTTACATTTACAGCCATTAACCTCAATCTTTCATCACCGAATTTTGTAGGAGATCTTAGGCACAATTGCACAGAGCAAATATTGTTAATGGTTGATGTCATGTTTGCTTTAAAGAGGACCTTCCACCAATCTAAGTAAGTGGTATACTTATTCAGGCGTGTGTAGCCCCCTCTAGGGGTACTAGAGAGTTACATTTAGTTGGCTCACAGTAGTGAAGTGAGCATGTGTCTGTTTGGGTTATTTTAGGTCAGGCTGGAGGGCTCTACAGGTCAGGACTCTGGCACCGCTCCCTGGTTCTGGAGTTTTCCAGAAGTTTCTAGAAGCTAGTGGGTGGAAGGGTGACCAAGATCTGCATATTCATGGGAGTCTGACCACTCCCAGGCAGGAGCCCTAACAGTGTGACATATGGGCCCATAAAATAGGAGAGAGCCTATCCAGCCAGGGATTCTGGCAATCAGGTGGAAGATGGAGTGTAGAGGATTGTGAGGTCTGGGGTGGACCCTGGGGAAGAGGGGCTCTGCCTCCAGGTTGAAGCTGAGGAGAGAGGAAGGAAGGAGAAGAAGTCCAATCCAGAGGGTACCCTGCTCAGCAT